AGCTTCAGTTTATTCAACCTCACAAAATTGGTATAAAGGTTACACTGGATAGTTTTATTACTATATAAATGTGAAGTAGTGTTACTAACCATACACTGGGAGGAAGACCACAGCATACTACTCAGATAGGTCGTAAAATGCAAAGGAGCTTCTGTGTGGTTCGCTGGAACTTGTGTTGGAGCCCTGAGCTCCAGGAAAAAAGTACTACCACTCTGATATTACCGTGTTGCAAGGAAGCCCAAGTTAACCCACATAAAGAGACTACACGGAGATGCCCTGTGCGATGGACTGAATTGTAACTCTTCAAAATTCCTTTGCTGAAGCCATATCTCCAACGTGACTATATCTGGAGTTAGGTTTTGGGATGTAATTAAGGTCAAATGAGGTCGCAAGGGTGGAGCCCTCATCAGATAGGATTGTGACCTCACAAGAAGAGGAGGAAAGAGTTCTCTCTTTCCTGCTTCCCTCAATCCACCTCTTTCTTTCTCTCTTTCCACATAACACACACATCGAGGAAAGGCCATGTGCAGCAGGGAAGGGGCCATCTGAAAGCCAGAAGAGAGGTCTCAACAAAGCCAACCACGCTGGGACTCTGATCGCAGACTTCCAGCATTCAGAACTGTGGAAAAAACAACTTCTGTTTTTAAAGTGTATGATAGTGTATGATATTTTGTTATGGAGGCTAAGATACCCTGAGATTAAACAAAGAAAGAGAGACGTCTGGTTGTCTCCTACTTGCTTCAATCCTGCTACCATTGCCTTAAACCAAATCAGAATTGTCCAACTGAATTCTTTCTGAATTCCTGATTCATAGGAACTGTGAGAAAAAAGAAAATGCGTGTTGCTGTTCTTTGGTCACTAAGTTTTGGAGTAATGTGTTATGCCTCAATAGATGTCTCGAACTCTTATTGAGCACAGATTTGCACAAAGACCTATGAAAAGCAAAGTCACATTTCTATTTATTAACCCTAATAAATAAAAATAAAAAAATGAAATGGGAGCTAAAATAACATTTTATATCTAATTTGGATAGTATTATATTTGATTACTGTCTACATTGGTAGTATCTTGGGAATGTAATATAATTCAGAGCACCCTCGTTTTGGTAGAGCCTGTCTGAAATTGCTGACTTCGTATTAATTTAAGATCCTATTTATTCAGCTTAATGAAGACTTTATGTGTTACATCATGGTTATCCTATTTCACTTCCAGTATTATAGAGAAAATAAATGTTTAGATTATATCTAATTTTGTCTTTTAGGTGAAAATAGGATGAGGTTTACCATTTATTAAAGTGTTCAATTATGGCAGGAAATGGAAAATACTGGTAACTTGAGATTTTTAAAAATATTGCCTAAGTAAACATAACTATTTGTCAGGGTAGGTGATTAATGGTAACTAAATTTATCTAATAAACTTCAATGAAAAAACAAAGACCAAATTTTTTTTTAATCTTTTCTTTTTTTTTAGGTAGTTTTTATTTAACTAATCAGGGCTTGTGTTTATTTCTTAAAATAAAATAGAAATACAGCAACTAGCTTACTAAATTAAAGGAAACTTAGTTTCACAATAACTTAATTATTCCCATAGTTGAGAACACATATTGTACTTAGTCCAACCCTAGAAGTTTTCTAATTTTTGGTTGTATTATATGTAATTGGCTGTGAAGAGATAAAATACTTTTAACACTTACTTATGTTACCTGAAATAATACAAAATGTGTTCCCTTTATTTTGATTTCTTTGGCAGACTGAGGGGTAAAACGTCCAAGCTGAAATATCACTGCCAAGCAAGTTCACTAAACCCAGCCATAGGGGATGCAGAGGGTTTTGACTGACAGGGGTTCATCTGGTGCCTTCCACCATGAAGTCTACGATGAGGTAGCAAAGCAGAAAAGTGAAAACTTTCTCCCTAGTTCTTAGGATTCATTAACATGTTACACCCATGAAGTAATAGCTGCCTTACTGATGGCTCATCTGATTTAACTAAAAGAACCCTGAGCCAAACAGCAATACCCACATTTAAAAAAAATGCTTGTTCTTTTATTGGACTGAGGGAGGCTACTTTTCCCTTTGCCATTCTGTACAAATAACTGAAGTCTACATCAGCTGTTAGGTCTACTGTTCCCTGGCCAATTAACACACCATGAAGCTTGTGGCCACAAAACCTTCTGACGGTATCTGTCTTTGTTCCATCCTGACCAGAATCAGCAATCAGCGCGGCACCCCAGCTAGTGCAGCGTGTTGAGAAAGCTCCTGAATGATAACACCAGCACCAGGACACCCTCAACACGATCCCTCATTTCGTTATGTTGTATGAAAGCTGCTACCGGGGTGAAATAAGATGCCAAAATAAACCTCAGTTTATCATCAACATCAATGAATACTTCTTGCCACCCTTGTGTTTTCAGAAACTTATGCACAGGAAGAACATCAAAAAATTCACGTGTAAGATAAAAGCTGTACCCAACAATGCTTCCTTGAGCCTCTCCTGGCCCAGGGTGCTTTATCATCAGCACCACCTTAGCTAAGGGGAAATCCTTTTGGAATGTCTTGCAGATCTCAGTACCAGGAAATTGGAATCCCAGACTTAGTGACACCTTTCACATATACTGGGGAGCCAGCATTTTGCTCTAATGAGACCTTGTCTTCAGTCAGTGTCATTGCTTGTATCTCACTTAATTTTTGGCTCGCCTCCACTAGATGTATTGAAATGTCACAGTTCCTCAGTACAGATCCAAGCTGACTGAGCACCTGGACCCAGTTCTACCAGCTGGAAAGCTATGCTTTTTCTAGTGGCCATCATTCACTAACGAACCATATCCCTGATAACTTGGCTGGGGTGGTCAACACCTCCTTCATGTACTCGGCCACAGTGATAGGGCCAGCAGACTTTATTTTGTACATAAGATGCTGCAGCACTGGCATCACTGGGTTGTGCTTTGCCGGTTCATTCCTGGAGCTGAAGTATTTCCCTCTCCAAATAAAGGGAATAACTGTAACATAGATTAAACAGGCTGCATTATAAAATTTGGTATTTATATGTGCAAGCAGCCTGAACACTTTCAAAGCAGCTTCGTTAGTCCTTAACCTCGCTGCAATGCTGGAAAATGGGCTGATCTATTTTTTATTATTTTGATAATAAAGACATGACATGAGATAATTCATATGTGTGAGAGTTATTATTCCATAAAAAGAGGAAAAGCAAATTTTATATTACCTTAAATTGTTAAAATAAAGCCCTGAAATAAACCAGCTCTAATAAATACATAAATCTGATGAAGGCACTGTTGTCTAAAAAGTCACTATGGCATGCTAGCCTACAGGCAGCTAATTATTTCCAACTGAGTGGGATAAGTGCCAAATATATACAGAATGTAAAAATACTATATAAGAGGAAATCTGAAGTGACAAACCTTCCAGATCTTGGCAACATTCATAAGAATTAGAGAAGGTAAAAAAAAAAAAAAAAGAATTAGTAACATAAATAGCATTCCAAATGAGAATTTAAAAATCATGATTGTTCTAGCAGACCCAACAGTGCTCAAAGTACAAGGAAAAAATAAAAAAGAACTAAGTAAAAATCATAGTGAAAATTGTTGATAAAAGGAAATTAAAAACTTTGGAAAAATTTGAAGATACATAAAAATTATATAAAGTTAGAAAGAAAATATGACTATTTGGGGATAAAATAAAACTAGGATACTATAAAGGCCATGGTTCAGATCACTTAGAATAACTGTGATCAAAGGAGAAAACAATTTAGGTAGTTAAGAATAATCATAAAGGTATTTTCATTTATATTCTTTTTATACTGCCAAAGATGAAATATGATGAAGTGTATAGATGATTATCAATTACTAGGTAAAAAAATGCTTATCTGACATGAGAAAAAAATGTCTGGTACAGGCACCTTACATGTCTAAATAAAGTTTTGATTACATATTCTACAATGAGTTAAAAATTTAAAAGCTATTGTATTTAAATTGTTTTCTTTCTTTCTTTTTTTTTTTTTTTTGAGACAAGAGCCTCAAGCTGTCCCCCTGGGTAGAGTGCTCTGGCATCACAGCTCACGGCAACCTCCAACTCCTGGGCTCAAGCAAGTCCTCCTGTAAATTGTTTTCCTTCAAATCTCATAATTTGCTAAAAATTTTTGTAATTTTTCAGGAAAAAACATGCAAAATTAAACAAAAAATGTCAAGAATATAAAACATTGGTAGTTCTCCAAACAAACTGCTACGGTGTCAAGAAAATAAAAATGGAAAGCAAGGACTTAATGAAACTGCTAGGAGGCAAATCAACGTTGGTGATGAAAAAGATAAAAAAACACACAAGAACATTCATTATCTATAATTTCCATGAGTCCTGAAAACAAAGGGATGACAGCCAGCTGTTTATATGGCATACAAATAGCATCAACGGTATGTCATCAGTACTGGGCCAAAATTTCTAGATAAAAGCAGATAAGTCAATGCTATTTGCTTCTAATTGATTTTGTTCTAATACAAACCTTGCGCTCTCTCTCTTTCTATATATATATGCATATATATATTTTATTTTATTATTATTTTTTTTTTTTGCAGTTTTTGGCCAGGGCCAGGTTTGAACCTGCCACCTCTGGTATATGGGGCTGGCACCCTACTTCTTTGAGCCACAGGTGCCACCCTAAACCTTGCAATATCTTGAAAATTCAAAGAGGTTTTACATTGAACCATCAATTTCACGATGCTGTTAAAAAGCCTTAGATTCTCAGATGTTTATTCTTCTACACTTGGTCTTTATTTATTTTTTTGTTTTTAATTTTAAGTAAATGGCATTAGCAACTCAACATAAATCTCAATGATATAATATAGTATTATAGAGCACTGTGTGATACCCATTATTATAATCCCTGGAAACTAAGGAAAATTCAAATGCTTTTTAGGGCTGGTCAAAGGCTCTTAGTCTTTTGATGTAGGGTTAGGGTCTCCCCCACCTCAAAGGGATTTAAACACCATTTACCTGTAAACGAACAATTCTCTGAAATATGTCTCCTCTCATGCTCATCTCAATATCAAAACGAGAAAGTCTTTTGTCTGCTTCTGTGCTTGCAGCTCGTACTTCTTTGTCAGAGGAGACATGCTGAGGAAAGTCTAGCATGGTTCTTTCCACTGTTGATAGAGAAAGAAACTATTACTACGACAGGACTTGTCAAATCAGTATGAAGTCAAATAATTCCTACCTAGATGAATGATTATATCAATTTAAGTTTTTCATTTTATACTTTCTGTAAAGGTTCCTAAGGCTACCAAGAGAAACACGTCTTGGCTGTTTGAGTTTGGCATCATTATGAACAATAAGGATGAGTGCTAAGCACTTCTCAAAGTACAAAGAGTCTGTGATTTATTACCTGGGAATGTAGGTGGATAAAGACATGGTTCCTATATTGAGGCATCTTACAATATGGGGAGAAGGGTACGTAAAACAATAAAGAACAACACAGGACAGAGCATATTAGTTGTTCAATGAACAGGACACTGCCCTAACTCAGAGGTTGCAGCTACCAGTGGTGAGGGCACTAGGTTATGTGTATGGAGAAGGTGGGACCCGAGAGCATTTGGATTTGGTTGAGAAGCTGCACTTGGGGATATGGAAGGCCACATGTGGCCCCAAAGCCACAGGGTACCACCCACAACAGAGAAATGCATAAAGAGGAACTCAAGACACTAACCACTGTGATGGTAAAATTTTGTGTTAACTTGGAGAGTGATTTCGTAAGACTACCATTTAATAGGTGAATCTGAAGTAAAGCAGACTGCCCTCTATAATGTGGGTTGGCCAAATCTAATCAGTTGAGGGCCCAAAGAGAACAAAAAGACTGGCCTCCTTGAACAAGGCAGAATTCTCCAGCAGCTTGCCTTGGACTTTATCTGCAATGTTGGCTCTCTTGGGTCTCCAGTGTACTGGTTTGCAACCTGGAACTTCAGCTCTCTTTGGTATTAAGCCTGTCAGTCCACACTGTAGATTTTGGGCTTCTACCAGCCCCCAGGATCATGACCTAATTCCTCATAATCTCACTCTTTCCCTCATAACTTTATATGTACATATTCTCCCACACATACATACATATCCTATTGATTCTGTGTCTCTGGAGAATTCTAACAAAACCGTTAATAAAACTTGGTTTATTTTCTTCCTTCTTTCTGTGTCATCAAATACTGCTTCTAAACCATAATTTTAATGGTTACATAGTGCTATAATGTTTCAAAATTTATTTACCCATTTGGTTGACATTTGGGGATTGTTTCTAAGCGCTTGCTATACTGAAGAGTACTTTTTTTTTTTTGAGACAGAGCCTCAAGCTGTCACCCTGGGTAGAGTGCCGTGGCATCACAGCTCACAGCAACCCCCAACTCCTGGGCTCAAGTGATTCTCTTGCCTCGGCCTCCCAAGTAGCTTGGACTACAGACGCCTGCCACAATACCTGGCTATTTTGGGGTTGTAGCTGTCACTCCTGTCTGGCGGGGCCGGGCTGGATTCAAACCCGCCAGCTCAGTTTTATGTGGCTGGCGCCATAGCCGCTTGCACCTCAGGCACCAAGCCACTAAAGAGTACTTTTTTTTTTTTTTTGAGACAAAGTCTCACTTTGTTGCCCTTGGTAGAGTGCTGTGGTGTCACAGCTCACAGCAACCTCCAGCTCTTGGGCTTAGGTGATTCTCTTGCCTCAGCCTCCTGAGTAGCTGGGACTATAGGTGCCCACCATGACGCCCAGCATTTTTGTTGTTGTTGTTGCAGTTTGGCCGTGGGCAGGTTTGAACCTGCCACCCTCGGTATATGGGACCGGGGCCCAACTCTGAGCTGCAGGTGCTGCCCAAGAGTACTTTTAATATAGAAACTGATATCAGATTATTTCCTCAGAGTAAGTGCCTAGATGTGGAATTACTAGGCTAGGGCAAGACGTTCTTAGAAGTCTTGACACGTGTTGTCAAAATCCTCTCCAGAAAGCAGTGTAATGACAGTATATTTCACAGCCTCTTTGCCAACATAATAAAAGTTTATAATTTTAGGTAACTGAATGCCAAGCAATTAATTGACCATTATATAAAAATCAATCTCTTGTAAAACTGAAAAAATGAAAGACAGAAAGCATAAATGGTTAAGAAATCCATAAAATGAAATATTAATGTGCTCCTGCATCCTACTCACCTATATACTTCACTTCTATATCTGCCAATGCTTGCAAGCAGTTTTCATAAGTTACTTCCTCGATATCGAGCATTCCGACGGCATCGTACACCTGTTTGGTCTGCACAATGAGTTCCTCAGTTCTTGTTTTAATCTGCTCTGGTGAAAGATCCCATCTTAAAAGATTTCTGCCAGCTGCAGTATAGGAAGACATCGCCTGAAGAGGAGACATCTCTTCTCTTCCTAATGTCATTCTCAGCAAAATCCTAGAACCACCAACTCTGAAAACCCAATCAGAAAAAAAACATTAGAGATTTCTGTTGGTGCAAAGTCAACACGTAAATGTGCATTGTAAAACTCATTTAAATTAAGAAGAACTTAAAAAATGAGTAAATTCTTTCTCATTTGAATATGTATATAAAATGAAATGCCTTTACATTATTCATTTTTCTTCAATAATTAGTTTTAATGGAATTCATATGATCCAAACCCTGAGCTGTTAACTAAATCATATAGAAAAATAAAGTTGGGCGGTGCCTATGGCTCAAGGAGTAGGGTGCCAGCCCCATATACAGTGGCTTGTTCACGCCCAGCCCTGGCCAAAACTAGAAAAAAAAAAAAAAAAAGAAAAAGAAAGTTAGGTCTCAGCGCCAGTAGCTAAGTGGTTACACTGCGGGCCACATACACCAAGGCTGGTGGGTTCGAACCCAGCCAGGGCCAGCTAAACAACAATGACAACTGCAGCAAAAAAAATAGCTGGGTGTTGTGGTGGGTGCCTGTCATCCTAGCTACTTGGGAGGGTGAGGTAAGAGAACTGCTTAAGCCCAAGAATTAGAGGTTGCTGTGAGCTGTGATGCCACGGCATTGTATGGAGGGCGACACAGTGAGACTCTGTCTTCAAACAAAAAAAAAGAAAAAGAAAAAGAAAGTTAGGCATTGGAGATATAATTGTCCTTTATAAATTAAACCAGTAATCATTATTTTGACATGTTTTCCTGTGCTAGCCTGCTCCTACTATGCACATAGACTCAAAAACTTTGCAAATGTTACAGCTCTTTCAGAATTTGTCTAGCATGATTTTCCAGTTTATACTAGAAATCCCCTAAACCCCAAGCAGGAGGAATTAAAAAAAAAAACTTTGCAGGTTTAGCAAGGAAACATTTAAGAAGTTCCCTCTTTTCACTCAACACCATTTTTATTAAGCCAAAGCTTCATATAAATCAAGACTATCAGTTTGAATTTAAAACATGGAAGAAAAACTCTGATATAGTATGGCAATATCCTAGAAGAAAAAAAACTGTTAAGAATAATGGTATCGGCTCAGCACCTATAGCTCAACCGGCTAAGGCGTCAGCCACGTACACCTAAGGTGGCGGGTTCGAATCCCCAGCCCGGACCCGCCAAACAACAATGACGGCTGCAACCAAAAAATAGCCGGG